TGTGGTTCAGGCAACAGAACGAATACTTGAGCAAATGGGAATGAGATGCTCGATGCATAAGAATAATCAGTGAGGAAGGCATAGCCCTTGCTCCCGCCCGGTCTCTAAGGGGCCAGGATGACCACTGGCTGCTGCTGGTGGGGAAGAAAACACAAAGCATTTCCCAAGACTTTCTATGGAAGAGGCAACTCTAACTGCAGGCAGGAGGGTGAAGGACGCAGACCAGGGAAGAGGGCACGGACTGCACACTGAAGTTGGCCAACAAAGAGGAATCCAGAAGGAAGCAATGTTGCCACCTAGGGACACAGAAATTGAGGCACGTTTGGAAGAGAGTGGATACGTCATGTGTTAAGCTGAGGTTTATGAGAAGTCAGAATAGAATTAATAAGGATTGCAAGAATACCTATCTTTCCATTTAGTTCTACAGTAAAAACCAAGTAGAAGATGAAACAGAAAACAATTTTTTGAATTTTGGAGAAGAGACTATCATAAAATTGGGGTCTCATGTGGATGATGAACAGTGCCTTGATTTAGGGTTTATATGGGACATGGCTTGTTTGGTTTGTACACGAATAACACGCCCCTCCCTGAGAGTCCGTAGATGGGGTCTGTGCACAGCCCACTTATTTGACACCCTGGCTCCTGGAAGAGGCACCCGGCCCCTTTGCTAGGAGGCATGCTGTCGCGACCTCGCCAATATCACGGTAATGTTTCATTGCCGTCTCATCCACAACAGCCCAGATTAGACCACACGCAAAAAAAGTTGCAGATGAAAGGAACTAATTTTGTGAAAGACAACAGCTCAGACACTCTGGAATCTAAGAAAAGCAAAGCACAGAGAGCCTCTGAAGTCTGAGGGCGCGAGTTTTCTTGACAACAGCATGCCTAAATCAAGCGCACGGACTGACAAGGAGCTTCAAACAAACACCTAAGGCACGGAGTTGAACCAATCAAGTAGATCTAATGAGGAGACAAAAAGGAAACAGAAGCTGAAAACCCGTGTGTGAACAACAGTGTTTTTGTCTTATTGGGAATGCTACGGACTTCCTCAGGAGCCTGGCAATGGGAGGATCCGGAGCATCCGAACTCAGGAAGATGCCGGTTCTGGACAGGGCCTGCAAGGAAGAGAGGGCGTGAACTGGACCCCCGTGTCCACTGGACATTGCGGAATTGTTCTGGGAGAAAAGAAATGCGACTTGGACCAGAGGGCTTAAGAAAACAAGAGTGTTGAATTTTTACCCCAGGCCATCCTCTGCTTCACCTCTTGCTTCCAGGTGACAGTAGATGTGCCTTTCCCTTGCCCCCTCACCTGAGGCTTGCAAGGCTCAGCCCGATCTCGTCCCATGACTCCCACACTCAGGAAGGCAGGCTCTGATGCGACACTCAGGAGATGGATACTGAAGAGATGCCCGGACACTGAGTCAGACAGAGCTTAACCAGATGTATGACTTCAGGCACATCACTTGTCCACTGAGCCTCAGTTCCCTATCTGCTACATACACCTTTCAGACGAGAGTAGTCCAGTCTGGTCCTTAGTGTCATCTCAAGATTAAGGTAACTAGACATCCCACTTTTGGCGGGACAGTTCCAATTTTTGGCGTTTTAAAAAAGCCCCGATTTTTGGAAAGAATGCACGACAAGCTAGGGAACGATCTATTTGGTCCATACAGACCAAATTTTTAATCAATCCCCCCCCCCACCGTGCCCCCGTCAATGGTGTCCCACTTTAAATCTGGTCACCTTACTCAAGATTCATTCTACTTTGACATGAGACGACGACGGCCCAAGAAGAGGCCAACACTGAACCTCCCAGGCTGAGCAAAGGGCAGGCGTGCATTTGCCAGGACCCCACCCCCACCCCCTTCCCGTTTGCTGCCCTCTCAGCCTGTGATTTCTGATGTCTACTGGCCCCCTTTTTCTTTCTTCTTTTCCGTGGCTATTTGAATAAGTGGCCTCAATGGATCCACAAAATACAAAGTGACCCAAGCTTTCCCAGGTCATCAGGGCCTTGAAGCTGCAAATCTCCAAGTCTTTGCAATCACAGCAGGAAACTCTCCGGGAAGATTTCAGGCAGCAGGGACTCAGCCACTGACGACAGAAGTCCGACACAGGCTCACTCGGGGTCTGTGCTGCACACTGTCTTGGTCATGAAGAAGTAATTCACTCCGGGTACAGGACCCTCGCACACAATCACTCTCCCTTTATCTCAGTAGCGAATTCTGTGCACAACCCGGAAGCGACTGGGGTCTGGCTGTGAGGGCCTTCTCAGTGACACACAATCTGTCCTGCTCTCCGAGAAGCGGAGGAATTAACATCCTTTCACCCACCGAAGGACTTGGCTTGTGACAAAAGGTCAAAGCTGGTCCAACTGCTCAGCCTCAGTTTGGTGTGTGGTGAAATACAAGATTTTTTTCCCCTCATTGCCAATTTTCAGCTGTGTCAGCTGATAAAACTCTAAATGCTCTGAGGGATGAGCCACTTCTTAATTGTACAATTAAATCCTCCCAACGGCACAGCTGGCTTCTGAAACATAGACTGAGAGTCAATTAGGCCGTGTCTGAAAGATGCTCAGTCTGTAATTGCCTTGGGAAGGTGTCCCTATGGACACATCACCTGGGCCCACGGGATTCTCAGAAGGGAAAGGCAGGGCACGAAGGACTTGTACTTTTCTCTCAACCATCGGAAGTTCCCATTCAGCGCTGGCTCACTGGCTGATTTCAACGGGTACAGAGATTTGGCATTCATTTCCAAAAATGTAAGGATTTCGTGTGTAACACGTCTTCTACTTGTGAAACACGAGCTTGCAGGGGCTCAGTCTACGTCCCGTGTTCACCTGGAATACCCACCTGGCGGCGCAGGCCTATTGATCCCCCAGTGCACGTGACTATCGGAAGCCCTGGTGACAGAGTGGGCTCTGCTGGGCTGCTAGCTGAAAGGTCAGCCGTTCCAACCTCCCACAAGCTCCTCAGAAGCGAGATGAGATTTTCTACCCTGGAAGATTTACAGTCTTGGAAACCCATGGAGGCAGTTATTCTCTGCCTGGTGGGGTTACTGAGTTAGAATCAACTTGAGGGGAGTGGGTGGGCGAGAAGCTGAGGGCAGCCATCTGGGGGTCCACCGCACTGGCAGGTCACGTTGGCTCTGCCTCCTGCACATCTATTGAATCTCTCTGCATTCCTGACTGCCCTCCTCATTCCCGGATCCAAGCCACCATTCCCTGCACCGGGCAGATTGGCTCATCTTCCTCACTCGTCTCCCTGCTTCCACTATTGTCCCTGCTGTTCTCATTATAGCAGCCAGCATGGTCTTCATAGTGCATAAACAAGCCCCCTCCCATTAACACCCCCACTGCCCTAGTAGAAAATTTAGAATAAAATCCACATCCTGACCTCAGCTCCCACAACCCTCCCTGCTAAATGGCTTCCAGTCGCTCCTGACTGGCCGGCCCTGCTATGCTTCTTCCTGGGGCCTTTGCGGTTGCCCTGCCTCTGCCTGGAGTACCATGCCCCTCATTTCCACGTGACTGCCTCCCCTCCAGAGGGCTTAGCTTACCTGCCCTCTCCTTGAAATCGTGTTCTTTGATAGCCGCCTCTAAGCCGGCATTTCTATTTTCTCTCTACTTCTTCAGCTTATTGTTTCCTTCTTGGCACTTTTTGTCAAGTTGGAGCTATAGCTTTATCTCTGCGTTTGTTTGTTTGTTGCTTGTCAGTCTCCCTCGGCAGACTGGTGGCACCCCAAGACAGGGACTCTGTCTGCATCTCCAATAACTAGCACAGCTCCTGGCGTTTAGCAGGTGCTGAGTAAGTATTTACTGAAGGATGGAAGGGATGAAGCTTTATCTGGGGAGAAGGACCCAGCCATGCAACCCGATCCATGTCCAGACACAACTGGCTACTGGCCAGGCTTGGCAAAGGAGTGCTTACCTGATATCTGGTGGGCTTGCTGAAAGTATTATTGGCTGTCAGGTTCTCAGAATTCCTCATGCCAGGCTGGTAACGAGTCTTCTGGAAAAACACAACAAACCAAACACCACAATGCCCCATCCATCTATCCATTCTTCTACCCACCCACCCATCCATCATCCATCTATCTACCCACCCACCCATCCATCATCCATCTATCCACCCACCCACCATCCATCCATCTATTCATGCATCCATCCATGCATGCATCCATCCATCTATCCATGCATCCATCCATCCATCCACCCACATGTTTATCCCTTCATGGGGGGATGTGAACACTTAGCGGGCGGTCTCTACCAGGAGGACACTGGGGAGAACTCCAATGTTCCCATTGCTGCATGGCTTCCTAGAACAGGGTTCCTGGGAACTTTAGTTCCGGAGGATGTTAACAAAAGTCACATTCTATTGTTCAGTTTGTTTGGGAAACATAGTATTTTAAAAATCATTATAAAAGTGTCTTTCCTCTAGAACTCTGAGGTTTTAATATGCTACCTAACTTGGAAACGCTCCAGAAGGGGGGGATTGTGGGCAGGGCACCTTTTTCTAAGCAACTGGGATCTTTCCTGGGAAAAGTCACTCCATTCAAAGAGTTCCCTTCTCTGGCTTCCTGGCTCAGCGAGGCCTTCTGCCAAGTCCCAACAACACCTCTCCCCCAGGAGCTGCAGGGAGAGGGACACCTCTGCTGGTGGCTTCCCTTTGCTCAGGTGTCTGGAACACTAGGAAGACTCACGGCCCTCCAGCCCCTGGCTTCTCTTGCCTTAAGGGTCTTCATGGGAATCCAGTACATAGGAACCCCCTCCCCCCACCACCACCACCAACACACACACCACCCTGCCACTCTGGTTACTCTCTAACCCAGTGGTTCTTAACCTGTGGTTCG